TCTTGGTGCTGGTACTCCTTGCTGTCATGAGGAGTAAGGGAAGTTGATGGGAGCATTTCTCCTGTTGACTTCCTGCTGTGTAGACTACACCAAGCTCAGAATAAGGTACATTGACTCCAGACACATTATTTACGTAGCTGTAGTTGTGTACCTTAAGACGACCTTCTGGATGTAGTGTAGACCTGGCCTTAGAGTAAGGATCAAATCTTTAGCTGCTGAAAACTGGCTTAGAACCCTGAAGTCATAATCTATGTATTTCAATGTAGTTATACTCATTTATGCCAAACCAAGGTCTGGCCCACAGATATTAATTTCTCAGTATGATTGCTACATTGCACCCACACTGTTCAGTCTTATGGAACTAGATTATCTGACAAAGGAAGGACCCCAGAAAGCCTCAAGGAAAGTGTAACCATGGTTGTATTGTTCAGTAGAGATTCTGGATTGTGATGGACAGAGCTGGATTAAGAAAAGGGACTTTAGAGGCTGCATCCAAGGGCCCCAGACTAAGAGAGGTCCCTGCAAAAAGATCTCTGGGCCACCAAGGGTATGTCTGCACTACAAGACAAAGTTGAATTAAGATACACAATTTCAGCTACATTGATTGTATAGAGGAAGTCAAAGTAATTTAACTCGGCTTCTGGAGCTGTCCACACTGCAGTACTTCAGCTTCCCTTACTCTTCGTGAAAGCAGGGGTACTGGTATCAACCAGAGTACCCCTATCACTTTGACTTAGCTGTCTTTACTAGACCCACTAATTTGAACCCTGGAAGACTGACAGCTGCAGCTTCAATCTTCCTCGGTAGTGTAGACATACCACAAAAGTGCAGATCTTTTTGCAGGATCCCTTAGCCCAAGGCCCCTGGACTGCAGCCACTAGTGCCCCCGTGTTCTGGCCCTGCCTGGCAGGGAGGAAATCACAGCTCTGTGCCCTGCTGTTCTCCCATCCCATTCCCTGAGCTCGAGCTGCGTCTGTGCACTTCCCTTGCTAGCAGGTTCCACCCCTGAAGCCCAGAATCATGCAAATGGGAGTTGCAGATGCAACTGTGCTGGCTTAGGGCAGCATGCAAAGAGCCTGATGACCCCTCTCTTCTGGGGCCCCTGGCTAAGAAAGGTCCCCCCAAATAGGTGTGGTTCACTATCCCATGTAGTGGCACTTAGACCACTTACAGCAAGAGATAAGAATGAGGGTATGTCTACACTAGCTCGTTAGTTTGAGCTAGGTACGCAAATGAGGGCAACCGGAGTTGCAAATGAAGCCTGGGATTTAAATATCCCAGGCTTCATTTGCATGTTCCTGGGCACCACCATTTTTAAATCCCCCTTAGTCCAAACTCTGTGCCCGCAGCTACACATGGCACGGAGTAGGTAGTTCGAATTAGAGATCCTAATTCGAACTACCGTTACTCCTCGTTTGCAACTCTTTTGCCTACGTAGCTCAAACTAACAAGTAATGTAGACATACCCTGTGTGAGCTCTACAGCCTAAGCTGAGCGCCACCTAGCTTTATAGCCAAGCTGTAGAGGCTCCCACTCTAAGTTCTAGAGGTTCCAGGTTCAAATCTGCCTGTGGGTGTTACGGGGGGGCGTTACATTTGTGCCACCAAAGGGGAGTTGCCTCAGATAATCCCTTGCACCTGGACCTCCTTCCCCAGCCCTAAGCCTTTTCCCACACTCTAACTCCTGCCTACACCCCAACTTGCTCCCCTGAACCAAAATCCTTCCCAAACTCTGCATCCCCACCTCCAGCCCTGAGCCCCCTCCAATGCCCCAAACCCCTTGGCTCCAGCCTCGAGCCACCTCCTGCACCACAAATGCCTCATCTTCAACCTCACCCAGAGCCTGCACTCCCAATTGGAACCTTCTGAACTAGTGTTCCCTCTAAACTGTGCGGCTTCACAGCTGATTAATCAGCCCAGGAGAGTTGACTGACTGGGGAAAGGAGGCTGATTAATCACCCGTGAAGCTGACAGCTTAGAGGGAACACTGCTCTGAACCCCTCATTATAGGGTCCACCGAAGGGGCATCACTAAATCTAATAGCCCCAGGCCCCCAGAAGAGTTAATTCTGCACTGGCCATGGAGAGCTGTGCTGTTCCAGAGCCGCATTTTCTGCAACATTAGAGAGGCAGCTGCAGGGCAGGGTGGGAGCTACACAGGCCATTCATCCAGTTTTAAACAGACAGCCCAGGTTTTCTAATGTTTGTACCCCATCCAGTACTGGGACAAAGCCAGATGTGATTTTGTCCAGGATCAGATGGAGGTGCCATTTTGCAGCACTCCACCATAGCCATTGGTGTGTGCATGCAAGGTCCCATTGGCCAGGTGGGAGAGGAATTGCACCATTCCTAGAAGTACCAGAAGGTCCAGTGTTCCGGGAATGCAGGAGAGGCCACCCTAGTGGAAATGTGGCCATTAAGTCTTTTCCAGGGTGGATCTACTGGTCTCCTCATGCAAAGCATGTGCACTGGGGTCTATAGTCACTTCTGCAGCCCAGAAGTTGCCATTGTAGCCATACGAACAATTCATACTTCAAACCTTCAGTTGAGAAAGGGGATGATTTTATCCCTGCTGCCAAACAGATCTGCTTAAATGACATTGATTCTGATGGTGATCAGGTCAACTATGTAGCTGTCATTCTTCATCACAAAGATGGCCTCACTACATGCTGAGGTTCAGTTTGTAAAGTATTTTTGGATACTTTGGAATGACGCACATAATGTAATAGTAAGATGTTTATTCTGTCAGAAAATATTCAGCCTGATAGCCAAAGATTTTCAAAACTGAGTACCCATAGTTTGGATTAATTGAAGCCACTGGAAACACTAAGCCTTTGAAAATCAGGGCACTTACTTAAGTGCTTTAGTAAAAAACACTAGAATGAGGTGTCTAATTTCATACCAAGATTACAGTCTTTTGGGGTGGGACTTGGGTTTTTTCATGGCTGTATTTTTGATTGTTGAAAATTAAATACACCTATTTATGTTCATTGTTTCTTATTGCACAGGTGGTGAAAGCTTTTGTTGTCCTGGCTCCTGCTTTTGTTTTACATGACCCAGCAAAATTAGCCCTTGAACTGCAGGAGCATGTGAAAAAGGTTACTGCTCCCTACAAGTATCCCAGAAAGGCAAGTACTCACTCCCTGCTAAAAAAAAAAAAAAAGGGATATATTCAAAGCCTGGCTTTTCTAAGTATTTTGGAAATAAAGCCATGTTTATGACGAAGTACACTAATTCCTTTACAGACTATTAAAAGCATTGTCTGTATTGTGCTCTGAATGCAGTTTATTATGATGGAGTCACTCAACAGAAATGATGTGCACACACAGAGCCACTCACACCCTAAACAAAACTCAAGAATTATACTGCAAGAATTAAAAAGGAATGGATCCCACTCATACCCTAAAAGCATGATCTGGTCCCTCTCTCAGTCTGTTCCCTACCTGCATCTCTAACCCCCAAGCACTCCCCTGTTCAGGATCATAATTAAAACCTCTTCTGCATAGCCCTGTGCACAAGTGTGAATCAGGGGTTCACAGTCAGGCTATGTCTACACTACAGAGTTTTTGTGGAAAAACCTCAAGCACGTTTTTACGCAAGTAAATAGAAAGATCAGAGGGGTTTTTGCGCAATTGGTAATCCTCATTCTATGAGGAAGAACGACTTTGTGCACAAGAGCTCTTGCACAAAAAGGCGTGTGTGGACGGGGAAGAAGGGTTTTTTGCACAAGAAGAGAGAAGAGGAAAAAGCACAGGTACCCTGGTGGCCATTCTGTCCATAGCAATCACTGCTTACTTTGTGAGAGAGCGTCCAGGAAGTCTGGACATTCTGTCAGCCGACGGTCAGGGCAGTGTGTGTGTGTATGTTTCCGAGAAAAGGTTTAACGTCCGTGTCTTTACTGCTAGGACCGGGGTCCCATCGCAGAGGGTGGCCAGCAGGCCAACAGACGCCCCGTTATATAGGAAGAGCTTATTACACCTTAGATTTTAGCTGCTAGAACACAGGGGTTCCTTCGCAGAGGGCAGCCTAGGAAAGGCTGAAAAGGTGCCCCAACGGATCTTGTCACCTGGGAGTGACACAGATCCAAACGCCCAAGCTCTCCCTATGTCTGTCCCTTTATGACCGGCTGAAGTTCTTTTAAATTGTGCTTGGTTCTATTACAGCAACTGAAGGAGTCAGGTTAAAACTTAAACAGTTACAGGTTTATTTGAGGAAGCTTATAAATCATATGGTTGCAATGGCTATTGTTCTATTTCTTAACTACTAGCAAAATATAGATCTTAAAAATGGTTACAAAGAAGATAAAGATAGAAAAATAGAAATAATGGTACCAAGTAACAGCTTACTCTTTCTATGTGTACACTTAAGACAGAGGACCACATCCAGGTACAATTTTTACCCCCTTCTGTGCCTCTCAACTCCAGCATGTCAGGCCAGGGCCGGTCCCTCAATTCCTAGGAAAGACGAAAATACGAGGTGGGCGTCCCCATAGAACCTCGGGAGGTCAAACACCTAACCCGACCAGCAGGTAGAGGGTAGAATGACACTCAAAGTGAGTGTGTGCTGGGCCCATCTTTTATAATCATGAGGTCACGTATTTCTCTTTCTTATCTGTCATGCCAATTGATGCTGGTCTGTCTGCTGTGAGACCAGTTCTTACAAGGGAGTTGTGAACTTAATTTACACTTGTAAGAGAGAATTGAGATGATTAAATTGGAAGTACTGGGCATTCTTTTCTCAGTGGG